CTGCACTCCAGTCTGGGTGACAGAGTGAGACTCCAACTCAAAAAAAAAAAACCAAAAACAGGATGACACCACTTGCCTTGCAATTTTTTTTTTTTTTTTGAGTGGGACTCTCACTCTGTCCCTCAGGCTGGAGTGCAGGGGCAAGCTCACGGCCACCGCAGCCTCCACCTGCTGGGTTCAGGCAATCCTTCCACCTCAGCCTTTCAAGTAGCCAGAACTACAGGCGCACACCACCACACCCGGCAAATTTTTTTATTTATTGTAGAGATGAGGGCTCACCAAGTTCCCTGAGCTGGTCTCGAACCGGTGGGTTCAGGCAATCACACCCCAGTCTCCCAAAGTGCTGGGATTGTGGGCATGAGCCATCGCACCTGGCTTTGCCTTGCAAATTCAAGGGATTAGTTCTTCAAAGACCAGGTGGCAATAGGGGGCAGTAGTGGCCCAGGATACAGCTTCCCACTTAAGGTTTCAAGAACTCAGCAGCTGCAGTGATGGAGATATCCAACTATGACAGTGTATAGTTGACCCTTGAACAACACGGGGGTTTATAGTGCCAACCCCCCACGCAGTTGAAAGTTCACGTATAACTTTTGACTCTCCCAAAAACTTAGCCACTAGCCACCTACTGTTGACTGGGAATTGTATCTTTGTATGGTCCAAATAATGCTCGGCTGCTCCCCTTGATACCAATAAATCAAGGGGCAGGGAACCAGTAGAAAGAAGTTTATTTTTGAGTTCAAATCCAGGGAGCAGAGCCAGACTCCAGGTCTTTCTAAAATGGTTCTGCTCAGCCTCCAGGCATTTACAGTTCACTTTTATGAGTCTAGAGTTGTTTATACCTACACATTAGCCCCATGACCAGCAGAGCATTGTATAGAACGTGAGTTTCAGCAGCATTTAACCATAGTGACATTTTTTGGTCCAGACTTCCTGGTGCCGATACTAGAGGTATCTCAGCTTTTATTGGTAGGGCCCCACAGACGCATTAATCAAATTTGTCATAGAGTAAAGGGAGTTTACAAGGGCTAAGACATCATGCATTACACAAAAGTTATACAAATCACAAAACTTGTGATTACATTGATACAAAAGTTACTCAAATTACAAGGCTTACAATTACATTAATACTATATTATTCAAACTTATAACCAGTCAGAAAAAGGGAGTAAATGAGGATTTGCGTCTTTCAGTAGATGGGGCACAGACGACAGGAAAGTCAAGGATCCCCTGAAGCTACTTCCTGGGAGTGCATAGGAGATAAGGGGAAGCCACCTTTTATTAGCTCTCAGGAATATTGTTCAAGAATGCACAAACCGGGCTCTGTGGCTCAGCCTGTAATCCCACGCCTTTGGGAAGCTGAGGTGAGTGGATTGCCTGAGCCTGTAGGTTCGAGACCCGCCTGGGCAACTTGGCGAGACCTCATCTCTACAATAAATCAAAATGAGCTGGGTGTGGTAGCGCACGCCTGTGGTTCCAGCTACTCCGAAGGCTGAGGCGGAAGGATCGCCAGAGCCCAGCAGGGTGAGGCTGCGGTGGCCAGGAGTGACCACTGCACTCCAGTCTGGGCGACTGAGTGAGACTCCAACTCAAAAAAAAAAAAAAAGAATGCACAGGAATGCTGGAGTCCTTGCTATGCCCTTCTCTAGGGTTATGACAATATGGACAGACTTTAGCGGGACTGTGTGTCATTGATAACAAATAGCCAATGTACACATAACTTTGTATGGTATATGTATTATACACTGTGTTCTTACAATAAAGTAGGCTAGAGAGAAGAAATCCTAAGGAAGATAAAATATACTCACTATTTATTAAGTAGAAGTGGATCATCATAAAAGTCTTTCTTTTTTTGAGTTGGAGTCTCACTCTGTCACCCGGGCTGGAGTGCAGTGGCCGCTCCCGGCCATCACAGCCTCGACCTGCTGGGCTCCAGCGATCCTTCTGCCTCAGCCTTCCGAGTAGCTGGAACTACAGGCGCGCGCTACTATGTCCAGCTAATTTTTGATTTATTGTAGAGATGAGGTCTCACCAAGTTGCCCAGGCAGGTCTTGAGCCCAAGGGCTCAGGCAATTCACTCACCTCAGCCTCCCAAGACGCGGGATTACAGACTGAGCCACCGAGCCCGGCTCATGAAAGTCTTAATCCTCATCATCCTCATGTCCAATAGGTTGAGGACAAGGAGAAAGGGGATGGGTTGGTCTTTTTTTCTCAAGGGAGGCAGAACCAAAAGTGGAAGAGGTGGTGGTCGATTGCAGTAATCCCAGCATTTTGGGAGGCTGAGGTGGGAGGATTGGTTGAGCCCAAGAGTTCGAGACCAGCCTGGCCAACATACCGAGACCTCGTCTCTATAAAAATGAATAAAATCACATAAAAAGAAGCAGACGATGTGGAAGGGGAGGCAGGAGAGGCAGGCACACTTGGTGTAACTTTTATTTTTTTAAATCCCAGTATAGGCCGGGCTTGGTGGCTCAGCCTGCAATCCCGCGCCTTTGGGAGGCTGAGGTGAGTGGATGGCCTGAGACCACGGGTTCGCGACCCGCCTGGACAACTTGGTGAGACCTCATCTCTACAATAAATCAAAAAATCAGCCGGGTATCGTAGCGGATGCCTGTAATTCTGGCTACTCGGAAGGCTAAGGTAGAAGGATCACTGGAGCCCAGCAGGTCGAGGCTGCGGTGGCCGGGAACGGCTACTGTACTCCAGTCTGGGCGACAGAGTGAGACTCCAATCGACCCACACAGGTCACATCTATGTTGTTCAAGGGTCAACTGCGTTACTGATCTCAAGAGTTCTACTGTTGGTGCCATCTCTCTACCTTCCAGATGGGCAGAGGTCCTGCCCACCCTGGCAGGTCAGTTCTGGGCTGTTTCTCTGGGCGCCATCACTGAAGGGAGACTCCGCCTGGAGCCTACCCTTCCAGCCTCTGTTTCCCCATATTGAATCTCCTTCTGCTGATAATACCCACAGAAGTTTCCTATTAAACTGATGGATACAGGCCCCTTTTCTTTTTAAACAATCCTCTTGACTCCCCAAGCAACACAAT